CTCTGTCCTCCTTTTTTTGAATAAGACCTAGAGGTTAAACTTGTTTTCTCTTTCCCATTTCAAGACCTTGGCATAGCCTCATCGTTCATGGTCCTCAGGAGGGACATCACTAGGAAATGGGATCTCCTTTTATGCCCAGGACAGGTACGGTGCTGTGCAAATAACCACTACAGGAGATAATACCAGCCACCTTGCTAATAACATTGAATGTTAAGGATTCTGTAAGCCTCTTCCCAAGTAAAGCGACACTATTTAATGATATGGTAACTCTGCTTGTGCTCTATAACGTGTTGTTTTCCACTTGAGACTAATCTGAATTGGGACCCAGGTCAGCTGACATAAAACTGGGGAAAATAATAACCTTTATTGTGCTGATTTGTGCTACATAAGTTTGAGCTCACAGCACCACAAAATGCAAGGCAATAATGTTGTCCTAATGTGGCACAGAATCATTCATGGAAAAAAAAAAAAATTTTCAAAAAGACCAGTTAAAATGACGCAGATGCTAAAAGGAGGAAAGCCAGAGTGAAGTTAATGGAGGAAGATCATGAAAGTATTGAGTAAAAGAAAATAAATTAAGGTCATTTATCTTTAAGCTACACTCAGGAGTTGAAGTTAAGGCAGGAGGGAATGGGAAATGTTGTTTTCTATAGTTGGAACTCATAAAAGGAGAGGTAATGGTCTAGAATTAGACACATTCAGGTAAGGCAAGAAGTAATCATTGAGCAGGAAGTTACCTGAGTCATCCTAATTAGAACTGCTTAAAAATAGGACAACTAAAATACTGGTGAGATTAACCTTTATAATCATGCTCCTGAGAGGAGAAGGGGAATTAACCCCAAGGCAAAAGTCTTTTCCTTGAAGCTCTACCTCTAGGTTTCCTGGTGCTGTAGGGTAAGCGCTGGACTTCAAGGTCGGTTTGAACCACAAGGTCAACAGTTCAAACTCACCAGGTGCTCCTCAGAAATCCTTTATAGGGTCCCAACAAGTCAGAACCAACTCGAAGGCACTTAACAGCAACCACCACAACAAAGTACTTCATTTAACACCTCTTTGTTACTTTTTGCTTAGATCTCTCTATTTTCTATGCTATACTTTACCCTCCCAAATTTGTACTACCCAACTTTCTACAACAAAACAGACTTCCTTTAATTTTTAGAGTTTTCTAATAGTTTTTTTTTATTTTATTAAATGAAAAATGACATTTTTCATTGCTACATACAATTTTATTTAATGTATAGTTTTATAGAATTATCTCAGAGTTTCTCTTATAAAAACCAACCTTAATTGTATCAGAATTCTCAGTGGCTGGAAAACCATCACAATAAGTCTAATTTAATTCTGCTTCTAAGTGTCTATACTAATGGGTAATTTGTCCAAATTGGAGTGTTCTTAATATACTCATGATGCCATCATTAAGGATTTAAGAACCCAGGTATCTTCACCGGAGGAAAACCACACAGAATTACTGCCACAGTGATCATGAGCCCAAATTAGAAGCCTTCTAAATTTGTGGTTTTGATCATATGATGAATCAGGTACAAAGATATATATTAGCATGGCTACACTTTCTTCCTGGAAGTACAGGAATAGGCAAATTAATGACAAGGATGCTAAGAAACAAATGACACAATCTACTTGTAACTTACTATATAAAAAATGACAGTATTAGTCAATGTGTTCCAAATCAGTGACACAGAATTTTAGCTTTTTCCTTTTAAGTATAATGTCTACAATTTTACTGCATTTTATGCTTTCTAAGACAGAAGAAAAACTCAAACTAATTGGTGGCTATGAATGAGTGAGTGAGTTGTTTTCAACTAGAACCTCAAATGAGTCTTAGCGTATCCGGTTGCTTTATCCCCACATTGAGTGCCCTCACATGTCCTCTCTTTCCATAGCAATGGTATTTTATATACCTTAAATTAGTTATCTTAATAACTGAATGGTTATTTTTACTTGTCATAACTTTACTCATTAGACACCTTATGAGATCTCACACCCAATTTGTTTTACTATTCCTTATAGTGCCAAGTGGAGTGTGGTGCTAGAGGATATGCACTGAACTGTAAAGTGGGTTTGAATGGCAAGGTCAGCAGTCAAATTCACCAGTCCTCCTTGGAAACCCTAGGGTCGCTATGAGTCGGAACCGACTTGACAGCACTTAACAACAAATAGCAACATAGCACTAAGTATGTGTTTGGCTCTGAACATACATAAATGCATGTATGGACATAAATATGTACACATAGTGGCTACACATTATGCAACATCATACACCTGCTCCTAATTATACAACTGTTGATGTCTGTCTTCTAGATGCAATGTATTTTAACTAAATTGAATATATATATATATTAAGGGTTTTATTATGGATTGAGTGAAAGTTTACAGGGCAGATCATCAGTTTTACATTCAACAAATCATACACTTTGTTTCATTACAATGATTATAATCCCCTCCATGTACCATCAGTTAACAGTATTTCTTTCTATTTATTTTAGCTCTTTTTTTGTTTTTAAACACTCAGGCATATATAATAATTTACACCAACCAAGGGCACATTCTGCAAGTATGCCTAAGGGCTGCCATCTCTTAGTCCCTCTCTTTCCATTAATCTAGAGTCATCAGCTGCTCCATCTGTCCATAGCCCCATCTCTGCTTCCATCTCTGTTATTGCTGCTTCTCTGGATAAGGTCTCACATTCCACTTGCGCTCTTCTTCCTTGATGGTCGTAGGGTCCTTTGTTTCTAGACTGTAAGATTAACTACTCCACCGGTTTTGTTACAAAATATCTACCTTTACAATTGTGACAGTCACAATTAGTCAGGATTACAATTACACATTGTTGAATCATAAGACTCTTATCCCCATCTCTTTTCACTAGATGCATCTAGACAAGATGAAAACCATTCAGTGGAGACTCTTTTTTCCCACACACTATTAAACTAAACCCCTCCTTGAGACCTTGTAAGCCAGTCACTTTGTGCCTTTTATTGCCCCCTCATTTTAGGTAGCCAATGTCCAAGTTGCCTGTCCCTATCTACCTGGTACACAGAGGGGGTAGCATTGATACTTGATGTGAAGACTCCGTCCATCGCTGTCCGTACTTAGAGTTACTACCTCCATGAGTATAGGTCAAGGTCATCAAATTGTAGCAAACTGCCATTTCCCTTATCAAAAATTGTTTTGTTCTTTTTATTTTTAATCTTCCTCTAGTCGAGTTCCAGTCATCAAGCCATCGAGGCTAGGTCACATGGGTTGAATATATTTTTGATTCATATTTTTATTTATTTCCTTTTTCTATAAGAAAAAAATGCATGAGTTCTGCAGTCAGTCTAAAACTCCAATTCTGTTTTAGTTTTATATTATCTGTGGGGCTTAATATCTGTTTGATGTTGTTGTTGTTAAGAGCCGGCCCAGTCGATTCTGACCCATAGTGACCCTGTATAGGGTTTCCAAGGTGTGGCTGATGGGTTTGAATCATCAACCTTGTAGTTAGCAGTCTAATGCTTATCCTTCAGCTCCACACCAGGACTTTACAACCTGGTAGAAATGAGACTGGTAATTTTCATGAGGACTCTAAAGACACTAAACAGAATGCTATGAAATGATCACAGGCATACCTAGGGAAAGTGACTAGAGGAAGTCACACTTGAGCTAAAATTTGAAACACATAGGAATCAAGTATGCCAAAAGAAAAGGTAGGGCTAACACATTCCAGTGGATACAAGAGCAGAAGCCTTAGGTCTCAAGAATGTAAAGCATTATGAATGAATTGGATTGAGTTTGGAATAAGAAGTGAGATGTAACTTCATGAGACTGTAAGATTTGAGGTCGTTGTGACAGACTTGCAGATCTTTTTCTAAAATAAATAGGAAAACATCAAATAGTTTAAAATGGAAAGAAATAGATGTTCATAAGTTAATTTTAAAAGATTGGAAATGGACAGTAAGAGGCATCATTGAAGGAGAAAGTTTCTGGAGTCAGGATGTTTGGGTTTGAAGTTGAGTTATGATCTTTGTAAACTCTTATCAATTTAGGAAAGTGAGTTAATTTTTCCAGCCTTCTATTTTCTTATCTGTATATTGGATGTAATAATGGATTGTTTTATTAGTGTTGCTGTGAGACCAAATGAAATGATAAATATAAAATTCTTATGGTATGTAGCTTTATAATATTTATAGGGAGTTCTACTGTGGTGCTGCAGGTTAATGTGCTTGACTGCAAGGTAGTTTTGAACCACAAGGTCGGCAGTTCAAGCTCACCAGTCACTCCTCAGAAACCTTTTACAGGATTGCTATGAGTTGGAACCAACTCGATGGCACTTAGCAACAACATAGTGTTAGCTATAAAAAAGCATTGATGTTGATTTTAACTAGGGATGTAGTAGAAAAGATGAAGAGTCAAATGTTCTGATTTTCGTAAGTGGCAGTATCCACAGAATTTGATTTTTAAGTAAAAGTAGGTATTGGAGATGCAGAAGTTTCTAGATATAGCAAAAGACAGGGTATCAATTAAATTTGAATTTCAGATGAGAATGAATATTTTTTTAGTATGAAAAATATTTCATGAAATACTACTATAATAAAAATTCATGGTATATGAGAAATTCAAATTTGGTATTTTATGACAACCATACCAAAGATGTTTCAGTGTTCTAAGTTGAAGAAATGAATGGCTGGTGGTACCTTTGGTAAAAAGAAGATGATTCAAGGAAGATCTGTATTTAGTAACAAGATCATGGAAGAAAGTTTTAATTACTTTAGATTTTAAGACTCTGTGAGACACCCACTTGCAATATCAATTATTGGCTCAGCCTTTTTTGTTGTTGTTGTTTTGGTCATAATTGATGTTAGTTAAAAACAGTTATGACCACATTTCTATTAGGTGTTGAGTTGTATTCCAATATTGTGTTGTGTTTTATTTTATAAACAAGATGCTATCTTAAAAATAACTGAATTTTTAAAATATGAAGCATTTACTCTCTTTATTTTCAGGTTTTTACATTTCTCCTGGCAATGCCACTGATTGCTTACCATGTTCATGCCATATAACTGGTGCAGTTAATCAAATTTGCAATAGCATAACTGGTCAATGTGTTTGCCAAGATGCCTCCACTGATGAGCAAAGTTGTGACCACTGCAAGGACCATTACTTTGTATTTGATCCTCAGACTGGAAGGTAAAGACATATAAGAACAAACAGTTTAATATTTATATTTACAATTATCTTTTGATAACTTCAAGATTCTTGTCAACTGTGAAGTCACATCTATAAAAAGTGTTCTTGTAGTTTGTTGATATACTTTTTAATTCTTTGATATCTGCCTTTATAAAATTTAATGGTAATTGTAATAATAGTTAAGGTTTTGTGTCAACTTGACTAGGTCAAGGATCCTCAGTAGTTTGGCAGTTGAGATGCAATTATCCTCATAATGAGTTTTAATACAATGTTATTAACTCTATGATGCAGTCAGCTATGAGCAGCCAATCAACTGAAAGGACGTTCCCTTGCAGGTGTGTCCTGCTTCCAATATGTTAACTTCTAAGGCAAAGCTTGCTTGCTCTTTGGTTCTTTGTACTTGAGACAGTGACCTTCTCTATATTACCTGTTGTCTTAGTCAGCTAGGGCTGCTGTAACAGAAATTTATTCTCTCACAGTTTAGCAGGCTTTGTTCTTGTTGTAGGAGCCATTGAGTCATTTCTGATTGACATCAACCCTATACACAACAGAACAAAACAATGTCTGATCCTATGCCATCCTTGTTATGTCTGAGATCATTGTTGCTACTACCATGTCAATCCATCTTGTTGGAGGTCTTCCTCTTTTTCATTGACCGCCACTTTACCAAATTAGGGACTGGTTACCCCTGATCATAGTCTAAAGTTTAAAAAAATAAGTTTTGCCACCCTTGTTTCTTAGGAACCTTCTGGCTCTATTTATTCCAACACAGATTTGTTTGTTCTTTTGGCATTCCATTGCACTTCCAATATTCTTCTCCAGCACCATAACTGAAATGCATCAATTCTTCTAGTCTTCCTTATTTATTTTCCAATTTTCACATGCATATGAGGCAAGGAAAAATATTATAACCTGGATCAGGCTCACCTTTTTTCTCAAATTGACATCTCTTGCTTTTGTGCAGCACATTTGGCAAATGCAAAATGTCATTTGATTTCTTGACTGCTACTTCTATGAGCATTGATTATAGATCCAAGCATAATGAAGTCTTTGAAAACTTCAATATTTTCTTCATGTATCATGATGTTATTTATTGGTTCATTGGTGAGGATTTTTGTTTTATTTACATTGAAGTGAAATCTATACTTAAAGCTGTAGTTTTAATGTTTATCAGTTAGTATTTCAAATCCTGTTTGCTTTTGGGCTTATTTTAGCTGATGATATTGTACTTTTCTATTATTTCCTCCCACAAATGTAGTCAATTTGATTCCTGTGTATTCCATCTGATGAGTTCCACATGTATAGTTGACTTTTATGCTGTTGAAAAAAGATATTTAAAATGAATAAGTCATTGTTACTGCCAAATTCTATCATGTGATCTCCAATATCATTTCTATCACCAAGGTCATTTTTTCCACCTACTGATCTTTCCTCTGTTTCCAACGTTCACATACCAAATACCATTAATTATCAACTCATCTTGATTGTATTTTTGATCAATTTTAGACTGTAGAATTCTTTTATTTTATCATCACTGGTTTTAGTGGTTGGTGCATAAATTTGAATAATAGTGATATTAAAAGGTCTTCCTTCTAGTTGTTGATAAGTGTCATCAAATCAATTCTGATTCATAGTGACCCTGTATAGGGTTTCCAAGGAGTGATTGGTAGGTGTGAACCATTGACCTTGCAGTTACCAGTCCTTATCCTACAATACCACACCTGTACTCCCTAGGTCTTCCTTGTAGACATGTAGATATTTATCTTACCACAGACAGCACTGTACTTCAAGACAGATCTTGAGGTTCTCTTTTTGGTGATGAATATGATACC